TATATCCTGCGACGTTGCTAAATCCCTCAATTAGTTCCAGTAGTTTTTTGATTGAATCTCTTGGGTTTTCTAGGTATAGGATCATATCATCAGCCAACTTCTGGTTTTATCAATCCTCTCTATGTATTTTTCTTTTCAATTTTAGTTTGTCTCGGATGTTTGTTACTTCCTTTTTTCTAGTAGGTTTAGGCTTAGTTTGCTTTCTCTTTCTAGTTCCTGGTGTTGTCGAGTTGAGCTATTAATCTGAGATCTTTCTTCTTTTTCATGTAGGCATTTATTGCTGTAAGTTTGCCTCTGAGTACAGCCTTTGCTTCATTCCATAAGTTTTGGTATGTTGTGCTTTCATTTTTACTTGACTATAAGAAATTTCTGATTTCTCCCTTGACCCATTGGTAGTTTAATAGTGTGTTGTTGACTTTTCATACGTTTATGTATTTTCTAGGTTTTTCTCTCTTTTTGATTTCTAGCTCTACTCCATTGTGGTCAGAAAAAACAGATTTTAATCTTTTTAAATTTATCAAGACTTGCTTTGTGTCCTAACATGTGATTTGGAGAATGATGCACATATATTGGAGTAGAAAGTATATTATGCTGTTTTGGGGTTGAGTGTTCTATAAATAAGGAACCCTTAGGCAGTGGTTAAACCACTTAACTACTCACAAAATGGTCAGCGGTTCAAACCCACCACCTGCTCCATGGAAGAAAGATGTGGCAGTCTGCTTCAGTAAAAATTTACACCATTAGAAACCCTATGGGACAATTCTACTCTTGTTCTGTAGGGTCACAGTTGTGGTGGTTGTTGTTGTTAGATGCTGTCAGGTCAGCTCCAACTCATAGTGACTCTGTGTACAACAGAACAAAACACTGATGGGTCATGCCCCATCCTTACAGTCCTTGCTACCTGAGCCCATCATTGCAACCACTGTGTCAATCCATCCTGTTGAGGGTCTTCCTCTTCTTTGCTGACCCTCCACTTTACCAAGCATGATATCCTTCTCCAAGGAATGGTCCCTTTCGACAACATGACCAATGTAGGTGAGATGAAGGCTGGCCATTCTTGCTTCCAAAGAGCATTCTGCTGCACTTATTCCAGGACAGATTTGTTCATTCTTCAATCCATGATACTTTCAATATTGTTCTCCAACACCACAACTTAAAAGCATCAACTCTTGTTTGGTCTTCCTTATTCATTGTCCAGCTTTCACATGCGTATGAGGCAATTGAAAATACCACAGCTTGGGTTAGACACACCTTAGTCTTCAAGGAGACTTCTTTTCCCTTCAGCACTTTAAAGTGGTCTTTAGCAGCAGATTTGCCCAGCGCAGTACAATATCTGATGTCTTGACTGCTGCTTCCATTGGTGTTGATTGTGGAACCAAGTAATAAGAAACCTTTGACAACTTCAGTCTGTTTTCCATCTATCATGATGCTTATTGGTCCAGTTGTGGATTTTCATTTTCTTTACGTTGAGGTGTAATCCATACTGCTGACTGTAGTCTTTAATCTTCATCGGTAAGTGCTTCAAGTGATCGTCACTTGCAGCAAGCAAGATTGTGTCATCTGCATATTGCAAATTGTTTGTGAGTCTTCCTCCGATCCTGATGCTGCATTCTTCTTCATATAGTCCAGCCTCTCAGATTATTTGCTCAACATATAGATTGGGTCAGAATTGACTCGACAGTAGTGGGTTTTGGATGGGTTCTATATGTCTGTTAAGTCTCATTGGTTTATAGTGTCATTCCAGTTTGGTATTCCCTTGTTGATCTTCTTTCTAGATGTTCTGTTCAATGTTGAAAGTGGTGTATTGAAGTCTTCAGCTATTATTGTAGTACTGTATATTTCTCCGTTCAGTTCTATCAGTGCTTGATGTACATCTTTAGGAGCCTTGATGTTGGGTGCATGTATATTTATGATTATTAAATCTTCTTGATTAATCCTTTTATCACTTTATAATGTCCATCTTTATCTCTTGTAACAGATTTTGTGTTAAAGTCTACTTTGATATTAAGATTGCCACTTTCAGGATTTTCTCTTTAGAATTTTACTTTTTGAGAGCCTAGCTATGATGTATCTTGGTCTAGGTCTCTGAGTTTATCCTGTTTAGGGTTCTTTGAGCTTCTTGGGTTTGTAGATTCATTTCTTTTGTTAGATTGGGGAGATATTCTGTCATTATTTCTTCAAATATTCTTTCTGTCCCTTTCTTTCTCTCATCTCTTTCTGGAATACCCATGATGCGCATATCAAGTCTCTTGTTGTTGTCCCATAATTCTATTAAACTGTGCTCATTCTTCTTGAGCCTTTGTTCTTATTGCTCTTCACTGTCTATAATTTTAACTGTCTTATCCTCTAATTTGTTGACTCTTTCTTCTGCCTGATTAAGTCTGTTGGTAAGCCCTTCTATTGTGTTTTTCATTTCAATTATTGTCCCTTTCAATTGTGATATTTCTTCTTTTATTTTTTCACGTTTTCCTTATTTCTTTTAGCTCTTTGTCTGGTTTTCCCCTTAGTTCTTTAATTATATTTAGTATTGTTATATTCATCTTTTTTTTCCTTCATTATTTCATCATCCCTAGTTGCACTTTCACCCTGTTTCTCATTTTCATTTGGATGTGCTATTGTTTCTCTGTGGTTAGTCTTTTGATTTTTTTGTTGGGCCATTGGAATTTTCAAAGCTACTGACTTTCTTAGTTATTCCTAGCTTTGGTGTTTTTGCCTACCCTACTTTCTGCAAGGAAACTCTTAAGCAGGCAGAGCCTTTGGCCTTTGCTTACCATTTCTTGTCCTTCTCTGTGATAGCTTCTCATTCCTCTTTGGTTTAATTAGGATTTGAAAGTTCCAGGTCTTGGTTTTCGATTTTAAATCTCTCCCAAGAGCATTAGAGAACACACTGTGGTCAGTCTGTCCGCCAGCAGGCACCACAGCTCAGGCAAGATATCATGTCCTAATCAGTCTGTCCACCAGAGGGCACAGTCCTTCTCTCTTTGGTTATTACTCTCTTTCTTTGTTTCTGCAAACACTTTTTTAGTCAGAACACCCACACCCAGAGAACCTCCTTCAGGCCTGGTCTTGCCCCCTAGTTTTACTGGAGGCTTCCTTCCTTGCTCTGTGGGGGCTGCTTATATCTGAGCTGACATTCAGGGGAAGCCCAGGTCGACGCTCTTCCATTTCAGGAGGAAGAGGGACTGGCACTCCCCAGAAGGACATCTGTGGGATCTTTCTTGTTGGTTTCAGAGCCCCAGTGGGCCTGTGGTGGTTGAGGGAGCAATCTCCACTTTGGTGACCCATCCCCTTAATCTATTGTAAGAAATCTTCTGTAGGAGTTTGTATCAGTCTAGCAGCTGGCAGTTACCATTAGAGGAGGGGTTGTCACATTCTGATAAGCCCCTAGGGAGGTTTGCCTTGTTGCTTTGAAAGAAAACCCTCCGTTTTAAACATTAATTCTAAAAGATACAGTGCTTGATTGATATTTTCTTACTGAAATGTCTTTTGAATTTAGGTTTCTGATGGTAAATTCTGTTGTACTTGTGAGCTTCCAGTAGACTCTGATTTGGGGTATAAGCCAAACGTGTCTGTATAAGTGGTTCAAAGAACTAACCAGATCATTTACACATTTTTAATTGCTCAGTATTGCATTTACTCTGTGTGTGTGTGTGTGTGTGTGTGTGTTTTAAAGTGGCTGTTAGTATTTACAGAAAAGAGAAAATGATTTGGAAGACAGTTCCAATAGATAGACACTATAAATAAAAAAATTGATCAGAACGGCTGGATATTGTGCTGTTCACTGCTTAGCAATCCATGTTATCTCTTATTGTTTTCAAAGTTATATTCATTGCTTGAATCTGAATTATATGTAGGATAATGCATTAATCTTGTAAAAATAAGGAGCCACGCTAATTTTCCTCTTAACCATGTAGTACTGCTTTTCTTCAGAAATATTTGGAAAATATTAAGTTCTTACTTTAAAATAGGATTTTATTTCCTTTTAAAGGAATTTCTTTATAAATCTCCAAGGCTTACTTTAATTTCTAGTATGTCAAAACTCAAATCTGTCAGTTACTAAATCTGTGTATCTTCTGCTATAAGTCAGTTCAGAAAGCAAAAAGAGCCTGAGAGCTAGTCTTGGAACCTAGGGGATGATGATTTATTTCATTGCTATTCACTGTATAATCCTTGCCAGCATCGTCATCTGGTAGCTTGATAATCACGGAATCTCAGGCCCCACCCTAGAGCCTGCATTCTGACAAGTTCTACAAGTGATCTGTATACATATTAAAGTTTGAGCAGCACTGGCCTTTTTGGTAAGAATGAGTATATACATGTATGATCCAGTAATTGGATTATGAATCCTCAATAGTAATGTTGATGGAAACATAAAATTCTGAATATCCTCTTTATTAATTAATGCTTTTCACTAAAAAACTATCACATTTTTTGCAAGGGAAGAATATTAAACTGATAGCACACTTACTATCTGTCTCCCATTTTCCATGTTTCCTACCTAGAGAGTAGTATGATTTCTGTAGAAGTCATAAATAATCTATTTAAAAATCTTCTTACTTTTAAAACCAGATATCTCCGAAATAGAGTCAAACCGATCCTTTTCTCCAGATGAGAGAAGACAGCAGTATTCTGATTACGATTATCATTCCTCCAATGAAAAGCTGAAGGAAAGGCCAAAGTAAGATGATGTGTGTTTTCCGTTGCATGCTTCATTGTCAGTGTGCACGCATACACGTTTGTGAATCTGTTTCACTATGAGACATTAACGAGATGTCTACTTAAGTTCAAGGGAGGACACATCGGGGAGATTGTCCAGGATGGGAGCCACACCCACTCCGTTTAAGTCCACTGGTGATATTGCAGCTGCGATTGTCACAGAGACCAACAAGGAACCCAGACACCAGGAGGAACCTCCAGGTGAGGCTTTATCCTGTCACTGCAACAGCTGTCTTCAGAACTGTGTACTTGCTAATTCTGGAGAGTGGATGGGACAAGGGAGAGAGAAATTACAATCATTCTCACATTTGGAAGAGGCCCTTCCTTTTTCTTTAATATTGAGAAAATACAAAGATTGTAACACTCTTTCTGCCTTTTGTCATATTTGATTAGTTGAGGTCTCTTTGATATACCATCCTTGATCTCAACCCCATTTCTCTAACCCTACTCCCTCCCTACAATTTTAATGATTTTACTTACATACATACACACACATACACACATACTGACCTATGGAAAAATCATAGCATTATATGGTTTTTAAGTTATAAAAATGCTACCTTCTTGTATATATAATTACACACCGTGCATTTTGGAGGTTCATTTTCTTATTTTGAGAAACCAGTGGCACATACTAATGCCTCAAATGAGCCTTGGTGGCACAACAGTTAAGCACTGGACTGCTAATTGAAAGGCTAGTGGTTCAAACCCACCCAGCAGCTCAGTGCGATCTAGAGATCTGCTCCCATAAAGATTAGCATCTAGAAAACCCTGTGGGGCAGTTCTGCACTGTTACATGGAGTTGCTTTGAGCTGAGGACCGACTTGATGGCTCCTAACAGAACTACCTCACAATTGAACTTCACCTTGAAACCTTCTTTTTGTTGCTTGATGCGATGACATGTATGTAGCATAAGGTACAAACTTCAGTTTTTGTGTGAATTTTGTGATCTTTATATTTAAAAACAAACCAACAAAGTCATGTTTGTCCAGTTTATTCACAAGAGATGTTGTATAATCCACAGCTTTGCAACCAAAACCAGCCCCAAGAACTTTTCTTCGTCCTTCTCCCGAAGATGAAGCAATATATGGGTATGTATTTCGGTTTTTCTTTTCCTTCCTTTTTTCCACCACACAGATCTATCTCCTTAGAATAGTGGTTTTTACATATAGGTGATAAGTCTGCTTATAATCAATCATCTTTAACCAATCCCTATTACTAGTGTTTATGAGTAAGAGAAATTATTTGTAGGACAAAAAAAAGTGGAAGTGAGTGAGCTTTGTGATGTTTATTTGGTCTGCTTGTCTACCTGTCTGGCTTCTTTTCCAGAATGTTATTCTCACTATTTGTGTTTGTCAGATAAATGACTTCTAGATAGGTGAGGTGTTGCTAAACTGTAGTGTTTCTGTAGAGGTGTGGTGACATGATGATACCAGAGTATGTATATGTATGTGTGGGGGGCAGGAATGATATAGTGCTGTGTCCTTAATTAGTAAGGACCCTTGGCTCAGTGGTATGCAGAGGCAACTACCTCCAGGCTTAGCATCCAGCTTCTGGGAACCTACGCTGTATCTCCATTGGACAAGAGCTCTGTGGTACCAACAAGATTTGCTTTGAAAGAATCCTCAACTAGGAGTCAAATGATCTCAGTTTTAACCCTGTCTCTGCCCTTTATTGGCTTGATTATCATGAATGAGCTTTTGTAAATGTTTCATATTTCTGTTGTTTCACCAGTAACTCAGGTCTATTAGAGTAAAAGCTGCAAAAGCCAGAACCCATGCAAGGTGGAAACCTCTCTGAGAAGGAAAACTCAATCAAGTGTTTTACATTAAATAGAGAGCAATAGAAAAGTGGGGACTACACCCTGTCCAAGGCAGACGCTTAAAGACTCAGAAAAGCACGGCAGTCCTGTTGAGTTCCAGCTCTCACGGGTTTCACTGTAATATCCTCACAGTCCAAAGGCAGGCAAAACCACAGAGTAAGTGAGAAAGTGAGACAGAGCTTTACAAACTACAAATCACTGTAGACAGAAGAAATGGCATCTCAAAATCATAGAGTAAGTGAGAAAATGAGACAGAGCTTTATAAACTACAAATCACTGTAGACAGAAGAAATGGCATCTCAAAATCATAGAGTAAGTGAGAAAATGAGACAGAGCTTTATAAACTACAAATCACTGTAGACAGAAGAAATGGCATCTCAAAATCATAGAGTAAGTGAGAAAATGAGACAGAGCTTTATAAACTACAAATCACTGTAGACAGAAGAAATGGCATCTCTCCTCTGCTTATTTTGGCTCCCCCCTTTCAAAAGTATCCCCCATCTTTCCTTTCTGAAATGGAACTTGCAGCCCTGATACCAAAATGGTGAGGTTCAAGAAGGGAGACAGCGTGGGTCTCCGGTTGGCTGGTGGCAATGATGTCGGGATATTCGTCGCTGGCATTCAGGAGGGAACCTCGGCAGAACAGGAAGGCCTTCAAGAAGGAGACCAAATCCTGAAGGTAAGGAACGCCGAGTCCTGTTTCTAGAGGTTACGTGGGGAGGAGTGAGGCTTTCTGGGGTTCTTACTTGAGGAGGGAGGGTTTTGCAAGAGGTGGTCCTGCCTGGGAAAACAGAGCAGCTGCAGGTGTGGTGATGCTGAGCAGGGACATCTGTTTCCCTCCAGTGGATCCTGTCTTCTCAGTCCTGGAGCCCAAAGCTCAGCTCTGTGTCTGTGGGAATTAATACTGGTTATTACTCTTGCAGGGAGCTCTGGTAGCATAGTGCCTAAGGCATTTGACTGCTAACCAGAAGGCTGGCGGTTCAAACCCACCAGCCACTCCTTGGAAGGAAGGTTGGGCAATCTACTTCTTAGTGATACTGCCTTGGAAACCCAAGGAGGGTCACTATGAGTTGGGGCCAACTTGACGGCACATAACAACAACAACAACATTACTCTTAGAAGGAGCCCCTGGATTGTGTAAATGGTTAATGTGCTCAGCTGCTAACCTAAAGTTTGGAAGTTCAAGTCCATCCGGGTGTGCCTCCAGAGAAAGTCTTGGTGATTTCCTTCTGAAAAATCAGCCTTTGAAAACCTTGTGGGGCACAGTTCTGCTGGGACACACGGGTCACCATGAGTCAGCATTGACTTGACGGCAGCTGGTTAAGACCCTCACAAAGATTTGTATTAGTTTGATTTAAGAAAAAAAAAAAGGAGAGAGAGACTATAAGGAGAAAGATCTTGCCAATCTGGGGTTTTTCATCTTTTCTCCTTGTTGGTGTGACTCTTAAGGCAGTGTGCTATAATAGAACGAAGGTGGGTGTTGGCATCAGACCCTCTGATTTGAATCTGGTCCCAGGCTCTCATTAGTTACATGACCTTGGTAAACCTCTGAGACTCAAGTTTCTGTCTGTTCAATGGGAACAAAAATACTTGCCTCCCGGGGACTCTGGGAAGATGAAAATAGATAACACTGACAAGGCCCTAGCAGAGTTTTGGCACAGAGTAGGAATGCAAATGTCCTTTCTTTTTCGTCCGTTGGAAAATAACAAATAGCATCACTTACTGTGTTATTGACATCTAAATCCAGGAAAGGTGATTTCTAACTAACCAAATATTGGCACTTTAAAAGTTTCTCTCTGTCTGTAAAACCTACTGGTTTTAAGGAACTAAAAACTGATAACCCTGCTTTGACATTTTGTGATATACATAGAATGTGTTTTACATTGACTTCCAAATAAACTTCAGGAACCCAAGTACCCCATGACTACAAAAGTGTTGTTATTAGATGCTGTCAAATCGGCTCCAACTCACAGCACCCTCCTGTAAGACAGAGCAGAACACTGCCTGGTCCTGTGCCAGCCGCACAGTCCTTGGCAACCTGAGCCCATCATTGCAGCCACCGTGTCAGTGCCTCTTGTTGAGGGCCTTCCCCTTTCTCGCTGACCCTCTCTACTTTACCAAGCATGACATCCTTCTCCAGGGAACGGTCCCTTCTGACAACATGACCAAAGTAGGTGAGACGAAGTCTGGCCATTCTCAATTCCAAGGAGCATTGCGGCTGCACTTCTCCCGGGACAGATTTGTTAGTTCTTTTGGCAGTCCACAGAATGCTAGAAAATTGTCTTCATTGCTACTTTTGCTTTATAAACTTAAAGTTTCTTATATATGATTTTTTTTTATTGTCAGCTTTGGTGTAGAATTCATATGTAATAAATTTACAAGTCTGTTAAGAGCATCTAGGCTAGAGGAGGGGGAGGAAAAAGTTGCAGGGTTGGAAGCAAGCAGCAACTTGTACAATCAGATGGTCTTTTTCCTTCCTGGCTCCTGGCCCCATTGCGGGAGTTCAGATTTCACTTCTGGAGCAGCTGAAGGGCAAACCTTGATCATGAGCTTTGCTAAAGCTTTCCAGTGAAATCCTAGACTTTGCCTGGCTCTGCTCGGTATCCTGGATGACTAAGTGTACCTGAACGAACCTTGTGGACCATGTGATACCAGGAAACACTGCTCATGAAGATGGAGATAAAAATCCTGTCCAAGTGCCAACTCATACTAATGCACTGTTGAGCTAATGCTGAAGAACAAAAAGTGTGTTTCCGAACTAGTAGAGGGCTGTAGACTCCCTCAGTGGTGTGAGTGGCTAACATGCTCAACTGTTAATGGAAAGGTTGGCCATTTGAACTCACCCAGAGGGGCCTCAGAAGACAGGCCTGGTGAGCTGCTTTTGAAAGGTCACAGCTTTGAAAACCCTGTGGAGCAGTTCTACTTGGCACATACGGGGTCACCATGAGTCAGAATGAACTCAGCAACAATTAATAACAACAGTACATGGCTATGAAGTCCCTAGGTGGTGCGGACGGTTCTCGTGCTTGGCTGCTAACTGAAAGGTTAGAGGTTCAAGTCCATGAAGAGGTGTTGTGAAAGAAAGGCCTGGAGATCTACTTTTGAAAAATCAGCCATTGAAAACCGTAAGGAGCACACTTCTACTCTGACACACACGGGGTTGGCATGAGTTGGGATGAACTCCATGCCAACTGTTGTTTTTTTTAATGGAACTGTACAGAGGTTAGGACGTTAGCTAGAAATTTGGAAGCCTTTGTTCGTTAAGGTTCAAGGATAAAATATTTTTGTACTACATGGGAAAAAGGTTTATTGAATTCCCATGAAGAAAAGTAATGAATTCACCAAGAGGCTTGACAATCAGCCCTCTCTGTAAATCATCGTTAAAGACAGGAAGAGTCATTTCAATGAGTGAAAGTAATAGCACTCCACATTCATACTCAGGAATGTGTTTTGGTTGCTCTTCTCACCTGGCTGGAGTCCCTGGGTGATGTAAATGGTCAATGCACTCTACTGCTCATCGAAAAGTTGGTTCAAACCTACCCAGAAGTGCCTTGGAAGAAAGGCCTGGCAATCTATTTCTGAAAAATCTGCCATTGAAAACCCTATTGGGTCCCAATTCTACTTTTAACATACAGGGGCCTCCATGAGTTGGTATAGACTTGATGGTAACTGGTTTCATCACCCTGGCAACAGTGAAGAAAGGATAGTAACTTGCTTGTACAATAATCTCGTGTGGAAGTCAGGCAGTAGATGGTCTTTATTCTTGGACATGATCAAATTTTCCCTTGATTTCGAAAGGAGCCCTCAGTTCTACAAAGGGGTGGAAAAGATTGCTTTTGCCTCCCGAGTTGGAGAACCTGCTACACCGTAAGTCGTAGCTGATACGGAAACCCTTTCCAGGCTCACAGCAGATGTGGATATGTCCTGTAACTACTAAAGAGCCAGTGAAAGAGGATATGTATTGGAAAGGACTACAGTCCTTTCATGGATGAAAGTGCTGCTGTAGTCTGTTCTACCTTCACTGGTTTCAGAGGTCCTGTTCGTTGTCAGAGTGATTATAAGAGGTGATCTGTGTTCAGATACTGGTCACTCTTTTCCACTGTGGGTTTTTTAAGCTGTCTCTTTCTTTTGTAGAGGTGAAAGCCTGGCATGTGGAATGAAAGGCCAACTATGCTGTGCTGTAGCACGATACATGCCTCACTGATCACAGAAGTGCACTTGTTTCCAAGTTTTTTGTGCTTGGCTTGATTATCTCTCTCTGCTTATTATTTATCTAGTATAGTTGTCCTGTCTCTTTCAGAAACTTTTAGGGGGTATGAGGGAGAGGGGAGAACACTTTTAAGTTTATTTAATACCATGTGGCTTTTTAAAAAATGGAGCAACCAGGGATGCTTTCTTTGTTTATTTATTTATTTATATTCCTAATTGTGGTAAAATACATATAACATAAAATACACCGTTGTAATCATTTTTAAGGGTACGATTCAGTGGATTAATCACATTCACAGTGTTGTGCAGCTATCACCATGATCTAGTGCCAGAACATTGACATCACCTGAAAAGAAAGGCACATCCATTATGTGCTTCAGTTTTGACTGTTGTATTTCTGGCTTGATTGAAGGTCAGTCTTTTGTGGCCATGGTGATGGACAGAGGACCCCAGCCTGTGGCCCTGTCTTCCTTAAGTGAACAAAGACACGCACCTCCAGTTGCCAACAAGTCAACTCTGAATCATGGTGACCCTGTGTGCGTCAGAGTAGAGCTGTGCTCTGTAGGGTTGTCAGTGGCTGATGTTTCAGAAGCAGGTCACCAGGCCTTTCTTCTGAGGCGCCTCTGGAGCCTCCTTTGGGTTAGCAGGTGAGCGCATTAATCATTTGCCCCACCAGGGACTCCATGTGGCTGTTGTTAGGTGCTGTCGAGTTTGCTCTGACTCCTAGCGACCCTGTGAGCAACAGAGCCAAACACTGCCTGCTCCTGCACCTTCCTCACAGTATTCACCATGCTTCAGCCCATTGTCACAGCCACTACCAGTCCATCCTCTTGAGGGTTTTCCCCTTTTTTTCTGACCCTTTGTTTTACCAACCATGATAGCCTTCTCCAGTGACCTTCTGACAATATGACCAAAGTATGTATGTGAGACAAAGTCTGGCCATTCTTGCTCCTAAGGAGTGTTCTGGCTGTACTTCTTCCAAGACAGATTTGCTCATTCTTCTGGCAGTCCGTGGTATTTTCAGTATTTTTCATCAACACCACAATTCAAATGCATCAGTTCTTCTTTGGTCTTCCTTATTTCATTGTCCAGCTTTCACATCCGTAGGAGGCAATTGAAAGTACCATGTCGTGGGTCAGGTGCACCTTAGTCTTCAAAGTGACATCTTTGCTCTTTAACACTTTAAAGAGGTCTTTTGCAGCCATGCAGTACGCTATCTAATTTCTTGACTGCTGCGTCCGTGGGCACTTGACTGTAGGTTTAAGTAAAATGAAATCCCTGATGACCTCAGTGTTTTCTCTTTATATTGTAATGTTGTTTATTGGACCAGTTGTAAGGATTTTTATTTTCTTCATTTTGAGTATCCATACTGAAGGCTGTAGTCTTTGATCATCAGTTGTCTTCATTTTCAGCAAGTAAGGTTGTGTCATCTGCATATCACATGTTGTCAGTGAGTTTTCCTCCAATCCTGATGCTGCATTTTTCTTCATGTAGTCCAGCTTCTTGGATTATTTGCTCAGCTTCCAGGTTGAATAAGTATGATGAAAGGATACAACACTGCTATTCATAAGATTTTCAGTGGCTTATTTTTTCAAAAGTGGATGGCCCTGTCCTTCTTCCCAGTCTGTCTTAGTCAGGAAGCTCCACTGAAACCTGTCCACCATGGGTGACCCTGCTGGTATTTGAAAAATAGTGTTGGCATGTTCCTAGCATCACAGCAACATGCAAGTCCTCACAGTATGACACAATGACAGATGAGTGGTGGGAGGGACTCTATACACAAAAACAAACACAGATCTATTGCTGTTGAGTGGATTCTGACTCAGCAACTCCATTTGTGCAGAATAGAACTGGCCTGTAGAGTTTTCTGGGCTGTAATCTTTATGAAAGAAGATCATTGGGTCCTCCATGGCTCTGCTGGGTAGGTTTGAACCACCAACCTTTTGGTCAGTAGTCAAGTGTAAGCCATTTTTGCAGCCCACAGACCTAAGCATATATAATGGCATATAAAAACATGACAGGGTAGAGATAAAGAGGCAGATGAACAGATGGCACAAGAAAGTACCAACAACAAAGTGTAGTGCTTCTGATTGGGAGATGGAGAGGTGGGAATAGCAGCTATTTGAAATGCTGAATATTGTTCCAAAGACAAAATTAACTTGATTGCTTTGATAACTCACTTTATTTTAAAAGCAACATAGAAGTTTTCATCTAGTGCCTATTTTCACTTAATCATAATTTTCTAATTAAGAAATTATAATTAATAATTAAGGGCCAATCAGTTAAAAGTTTTTAAAGTAATAAATCATTACTCTTGTGATGAAAAGGATTCTACAGTCCTTAGTGACAAAATACTTCATAGGAATTTGCATCTTTTCTTTTCTGCAATATATTACTAAAATATTTGGTACTTTAAAATATTATTTACATTTTACTTATTTTTTAAAAAAATTTTATTGTGATTTGGTGAAAGCATTTTACTTATTTTTAAGTATTATGTTTTGAAATAGTTTTAAAGGCATAGAAGATTTCAGCATCTTTTTCTCTGTGCCACAATTTTACTTGCTTTCTAACTCATCTTCTAAATCCCATTTACAGTGTTTCCTATCCAGTCAGTGAGAGTGTGTGTGGACTCCTTGCTAGAAATTGGTGTGTACCAGGCGCCTAATTATATAAGGCTATGTATTAGGCTAATGGTCTGTTCCTTGATAGAATGGCATATCCCTAAGGGAGGTTGGCAATGTGGGGAGACAAGAAGGTGTGGCAGTGCACACAGAGCTTGCAGCCCACAGTGGGCACAGGGTGAAATTGATCAGGACACTAAGGGCTTCTGTATTTCTGTATTTGCTCTGGTTGGACCCTTATGAAAACAGACAAAAAACTCACATGGCACCTTCTTATAAATGTCTCATTTTTTGTTCTGTTTGCCCTTCTTCTCAGGTGAACACTCAGGATTTCAGAGGGCTGGTTCGGGAGGATGCTGTTCTCTACCTGTTAGAAATCCCCAAAGGTGAAATGGTGACCATTTTAGCTCAGAGCCGAGCTGATGGTGAGCAAGTTTGGTCATTTAACTTAGTCTGGAGGTGTGACGAGGTTAGGGAGGAGGATGAGAAAGGGGTCTTGGGACCAGAACAGGCAAATCTGGGTATTGAAAAATCAAAGTGGATTTATTACACTTAATTCTGGTTCGTGGGTGTGGGGAGAAGGTTGGAGAACCATTGAACTTTGAATGTGCACCCCCTGTGGTCATTTCACAAGATGTGCCAACTTGGAATAAAATTCTCTTCTGGACAGTGATGATTCTGAAAGTAGACCTGCCTGGAGTTAGTGAGTTTCTGGAGATGTCTTACCATATGATGGTCAGTCCCCATGTTGTTAGCCTCATGTCTTTTATAAGTTGCTTAACCTTTCCAGGCCTTACTGTTTTTAATCTGTAAAGTAGGAGTTGATAATATCTTCCCTGTCTGCCTCAGAGGGTTGATTGGCAACTCATAAAGTCAATTTTTTGTCCTCCTTTCTCTCTCTTTTTGGCCAATTCAACATTTTTCACTTGTACAATTCAGTGAAGCCAATTTCATCAATTATGTTGTGCAACCTTCACCAACAACTCCTCCTTCCTCCTTGAGCCATGGTTCCCATAAGGCCTATTCACTGTGCTCACTGAATGGAGAAAAGGCAAAGCAGGAGATCAGAGATAAGGAGAAGCCAGACTAATGCAGCCAGTGATGCTTTTGTCTTCCAGTGTACAGAGACATACTGGCTTGTGGCCGAGGGGATTCATTCTTTATAAGAAGTCACTTTGAATGTGAGAAGGAAACTCCACAGAGCCTGGCCTTCACCAGGGGTGAGGTCTTCCGCGTGGTCGATACACTGTACGATGGCAAGCTAGGCCACTGGCTGGCTGTGAGGATCGGAAGCGATTTGGAGAAAGGCTTAATCCCTAACAAGAGCAGGTATATGCAGTCACACACTCTCCCCCCCTACTCCTTAATCTAATCTCTGCCTTCTCTCAAAAACAACAAAATTCCCCAAAAGGAAGCCCACATGATTTCATTGTTTGTCAGCATGTCCTCTCCTATCATCTTCTTCCTGTTTTCTGGGGAATGGCTGGGAACTGTAAAATACCCATCAGCTTCTTAAAGAATCCAGACTTACTAGACCCACTGAGGCTGGAGGAATCACTGAGACTATTGGCCT